AATTGATTGATTGATTTGATTTGATTTATTTGATTTATATCCCGCCCATCTGGTATATTCTACCACTCTGGGTCTTTAGCCATCAATAGGCTCATACACAGGGTCTTTTTTTTGCATTTATTTATTTTTATTATTAAAGGATTTCTAAGTTTCCCTATACCAGACAATTTCAGGACAAGGAACAATAAATTAAATCATCTTAAAACAGTCTCAAACAATTAAACAACTGTGTTGAATCCCATCAAATCAGTTTCAGATCTTTTTAAAGTCTGTGAGCTGCAGCTTTCTCTGTTACTTTAAATAACTATGCCCGAAGTTTTTAGGGCAACTCCATCATCGAAGCAAAAGATCAGCATCACTCACAGCAGGCTTTCAACAACTAAAAGTATTTTAACATCTTACTCAACGTCTTTGGTGTCACGTAACATCTATAGATAAAATCTTATACTCTGCTTCCTTTAGGTTTAAACAGAGTGTGTTTATCTGCTGTATATAAAGTCAGGCGCAATTCCCCTGAATATAAAGATATACCCGAGGTTGGAATTTTCGAACATATAAAGAACGGAGGACCAGAGGGGCAGGATTGGTCTGCTTTGTGCTGATGTCAAAACAGCTGTTGTGCATTGAGAACATCTTTTCTCTAATGTTGTTTATACAGAGACAGGGTACTTGGGTTTGTTTGTTGTTTGCTTTCAGGCAAAAGTACACACATTCCCCATACACCATTTATTAATTTCCACTCACTTTCAGCATTCATCTCTTTTGCATGTTCTGCAGAAGCTACTCAAGTTAAAAAGATAAATTAATTGTTGCAGTCATGTACAGTATACTCTTATTGGTCTAAATAGGTGGATACTTTACACGATAATTAAGTGGCATCAAGTCAGTTCTGATTTGTTGTGACCCTTTCCAGGTTTTTATAGATTGTACTCAGAAGTGGGTTACCATTCCCTTCTTCTAGGTGTGCCCTGGGACTGTACAGCTGGCCCAAGGCCACGCAGGCTAGATCTTCTCCTGGGATTCACAGTGGCGAATCAAATTCCCAAGCTCTGGTTCCACAGCTAGGCATCTAACTCACTGAACTATCCAGCCTGCTCTATATGGGGTCAGACTATTTCTCACCTAACGCTCTTGAGTCTTTGCTGACTGACAGTGCTGGATTAAAATACTGTATGGTGAAGCCCTAAGGCAAGAGTCCTTAACTTGGAGAGAGAGGGCTGGAGGCCGGTTTCCTTCTGTCCAGCTGCACCAGTCATGAAAACGATCCAACAAAATGGATCCAACAAAATCCAAACTGAGTACTGTATTGCTAAACATCCGCTTCTGCCTTCATGTTTGTAGGGGAATGGAGAACAGCAAAACTAATATTCCCACATACTTCCAGAAGCAATCAATTACGGTTTTGAAGGATTTTTTTTGATAAGGCCATCAAATAATTAAGTACAGTTTTAAAGACAACTCCCCCCATGTAGAAATTTCATCCACTGAAAAGAATGTTGACTGGGGCAACCTACCTTCCTTCCTTCCTTCCTTCCTTCCTTCCTTCCTTCCTTCCTTCCTTCCTTCCTTTTATTTAAAATATTTAACCCCCTTTCTCCTTGAAAGGACCCAAAGCAGCTCGCATCATTAAAAAGACAATATACAAAGCTAAAAAGGAGGAGCGTACAATTATTTAAAAAGAAGTAAAGAAGCATCATTTTTAAAATGGTAAATAAAATCAGTACTGAAAACAAACTTAAAAGCAGTGTTTAAACAAATTTAAAAGCACTGTGGAATTCGAGCTGTGATATCTGACATACACGAGTAAATGATTATAGAAAGTGTGCATAAAATTATCCACAGCACATGTTTGATGAAGAGTTTTTTAAAAATCAGAATTAAAATGTTCCCGTTTAAGGGGAGGGGGGCAGCCCCAGAATAGGAAGACAATAGAGTAAATATTGTTTGGCATCTGTTAGATTAATAAAAATGATATGCAAATTATATTAGTTACATGCCAATGAACTATGCAAATTAGGAGGAAGCCTGTTTTATTGTGCATTATTTTTCAGTGTAAGTCTCACAGCTGAACAACTTTTCTGCCTCTGGCTTATACCGGCCATCAGGGACCATTTTAGATTCTACGTGAGGAATGGCAAGTTATTTCTTAGAGGAGGGGGCATTGAGGCATTCCTCAAGGTCATATGGTCTTTGATAAATTTATAGATAAACTAAAGCAAAGCAGTGTTGTTTAAGAAGGGTTTGTTGTGATTCTCCTATCTTTTTTGTACCTCCTCAGAAATCTATCAAGAGAGGTCCACCAGTCTGTTTTCTAAAATCACACCAGGTTTGTCCTTGGCATAGTGAAAACATAGGCCTACTTCACTGTTGATAACAACAGGCACTAATTGTGTAGATCTCGTAAGATGGGCACCGATTGGCACACTGAATAAATAATCATGTGATTGGGAAAATCTACCCCCTTGGCTGTTCTCCTTGAATAGCACTTTTGTTGGCTGCTTTAATAAGAATGGAATTTGCTGTGAAAAGTATCGGTTTGCCTCATTCGTCATCTGACTTGGGTACAACTAGGGAAGTCACATATCACCATAGCCGCCCCCCCCCAATCTTAATAATTTAGTTATAATACATTTCTGGGAGTACTGAATGAATCCTTTTCTAAGGGGTATCTATAGGCTGTGGTAATGCTGCATCTTTGATTCAAGTTAATTGTCTATATGCTACATTGGTTGTTTGACCCTTGAATCCCAAAAAGATGAGAATGGACTGCTGGATCTCTTCTTTCAGTCTGTACATTTTTCTGTTTGATGCAGTTGATGCTTAAGAAATGCCATGTAGACTAAAGGGTTGAAACCTCCTCTTCCACGTTCTGCATTTCCAGTCCTCATCCCTCGCCCAAATCATGCATATAGCTACTCTGGAAGAAATATTGAAGAAACGGGAGATGCAGTTGCGAATTTCCCATCTCTCATTTCCAATATTTTGGACCCTTTGTTGTCAGACAGATGATCTTGCTTACTACAGGAAATGGGTGAGGTGCCAGAGGATTGGAGGAGGGCTAATGATGTCCCTGTCTTCAAAAAGGGCAAAAAAGAGGAACCTGGGAACTACAAACCAGTCAGCCTGACATCAATTCCAGGCAAAATTCTGGAACAGGTTATAAAGCGGTCATTGTGCAAGTACCTCGAAAACAATGTAGTAATAACTAGAAGCCAACACGGATTTGTTAAGAATAAATCTGGCCAAACTAATTTGATCTTGTTTTTTGATCAAGTGACCTGCCTGATAAACAGAGGGAATGTTGTAGATGTAGTATATCTTGACTTCAGCAAAGCTTTTGACAAAGTGGACCATGATACGCTGATTAGCAAGCTAACTAGGTGTGGGCTGGATAGATCAAGTGTCAGGTGGATACACAATTGGCTCCAAAATCGTACTCACAGGATGATGATTAATGGGTCCTTTTCTAACTGGGAAGAGTTAATAAGTGGGGTACCCAAAGGCTCAGTCCTGGGCTTGGTGGTCTTCAATATTTTTTATTAATGACTTGGATGAGGGAGTGCAGGAGTGCTTGTCAGATTTGCAGATGATACAACATTGGTTGGAATAGCTAATACCCTAGAAGAGAGAAACAAAATTTAAAATGACCTTGATAGGATGGAGCACTGGGCTGAAAACAACTGAACGTAATTCAACAGGGATAAGTGCAAAGTACTGCACCAGAGAAAAAGAAAGCAATTGCACAGTTAGAAGATGGAGGATATCTGGCTCAGCAAAACAACGAGTGAGACAGATCTTGGAATTGTTGTAGATCACAAGCTAAATATGAGCCAACAGTGTAATGTGGCTACAGAAAAGGCTAATGCTATTTTAGGCTGCATTAATAGAAGTACAGTTTTCAAATCCGCAAGGTGCTAATCCCCCTCTATTCAGCACTCTTTAGGCCTCAGCTTGAGTATTGTGTCCAGTTCTGGACACCACACTTCAAGAAGGATGCGAACAAATTGGAACAATTTCAGAGGAGAGCAACAGGGGGATGATCAGGGGGCTAGAACCAAGCCTTATAAGGAAAGGCTGAAAGAATTGGGCATGTTTAGCCTTGAGAAAAGAAGACTGCGGGGGTGATATAATAGCACTTTTCAAATATTTGAAAGGCTGTCATACAGAGGAGGGGCAAGATCTGTTCCCATTCATCTCAGAGTTCAAGACATGCAACAATGGGCTCAAGTTAAAGGAAGCCAGATTTCAGTTGAACATCAGGAAAAATGTTGTAACTGTTAGAACAGTATGACAGTGAAAACAGTTACCTTGGGAGTTGGTGAGTGCGCCAACACTAGAGGTATTCAAGAAGAACTTAGATAATCACCAGACAGATATGCTTTGATTGTATTCCAGCACTGAGCAGGGGGTTGGACTTGATGGCCTTGTAGGCCCCTTCCAACTTCACTTTTCTATGATTCGATCCTTGCTTGTGGACAGAGATACCACAGGAAAAATCCTTATTTATGCACCTGGTTTCCTTTTTATCTAAGAGCATATAATTCTGTAGCATATAAGATAGCGGAGACAGGACACCTGATCAAAGTTTTTGGATTATGTTTCTCTGAGGTAGGATGAAAGAAAGATCACCCTCTTCTCAGCTGCAAACATAGAAGGGTCGTGTGCAACAGGCTTCTCAGCTGTGGCAGGCACTCTCTGGAATATTATCCTCAAACAGGTTAAATGGGCTTCCACAATTTACTTTACTCTGTAGTTGGTCAAAAAGCTTACATATCTGGGCCTGTGGCTGATGGGATAACAATTGTCATATTGCCTTAATTACTATTTTTAATAGTGTATAAATAAAGTTATATTGTATAGTATAACACTATTTATTATGACCTTTGATGTCCTTTAAATCCTGCATATTACCTTGAACACTGTGTCTGTAATACTGAGAAATAAGGGGCATTATAACTTCCTGTTTTAATGCCATTGTTTCCTGTTGTTTTCCGATGCAGGTATGGCCTCACATGTGCAAGTTTTCTCCCCTCATACCCTTCAATCAAGTGCCTTCTGTAGCGTGAAGAAACTGAAAGTGGAACCAAGTTCTAACTGGGATATGACTGGGTACGGCACACACAGCAAAGTCTACAGTCAGAGCAAGAACGTGCAATCCTCTCAAGCAGCTGCTGCCATCAACGCCTCTCTCCAGATCCCCAATCCAAGCATCCCTTACGAGCAGACCATCATCTTCCCAGCCAGCACGGGGCACATTGTAGTGACATCCGCCAACAGCACCTCTGGTGTGGTTGCAGTATCTGGGCAAGCACTGGGTGGACCACACAACCTGATGCGTCGAAGCACTGTGAGCCTTTTGGACACCTACCAAAAATGTGGACTTAAGCGCAAGAGCGAGGAGATTGAGAACACAAGCAGCGTTCAGATTATTGAAGAGCATCCACCAATGATACAGAACAATGCCAGCGGGGCCACAGTAGCCACCACTACTACGTCTACTGCCACATCCAAAAACAGTGGTTCCAACAGTGAAGGGGATTACCAACTGGTGCAACATGAGGTGCTGTGTTCCATGACCAACACATACGAAGTTTTAGAATTTCTGGGCCGTGGAACGTTTGGACAAGTGGTCAAATGCTGGAAACGAGGTACCAATGAAATTGTGGCCATCAAGATCCTTAAAAACCATCCTTCTTACGCCCGACAAGGTCAGATTGAAGTCAGCATCCTGGCCCGGTTAAGCACTGAAAGTGCAGATGACTACAACTTTGTCCGAGCCTATGAATGTTTCCAGCACAAGAACCACACTTGCCTGGTCTTTGAGATGTTGGAACAGAACCTCTATGATTTCCTAAAGCAAAACAAATTCAGCCCATTGCCCCTTAAGTACATCAGACCAATTCTGCAGCAGGTGGCCACAGCTCTCATGAAATTAAAGAGTCTGGGCTTGATCCATGCAGATCTCAAGCCAGAAAACATCATGTTGGTGGATCCATCTCGGCAACCATACAGGGTCAAGGTCATAGATTTTGGTTCTGCTAGCCATGTCTCAAAAGCCGTGTGCTCAACGTACCTTCAGTCCAGATACTACAGGTAAGATACCTGAGCCAAACAGAATAACAGAATAAGTAGCATTTCCTGTGATACTGTAGAAAGCGTTGAATTTCACTGGTTGTCTCAGAAGTGGACCAGGCAGATCTGTATTGCCTTTTGGCATTGCCTAATGCTGCTGAAGGTATTATCTTGATAGCTGCAGCACTGCCTTCTTGCCGTCAGCCATGGTGATGGCGTAACACAGCAGAGCATTGGACCACAGATCTTGTTCCTAGCACATTGCTGATGTGATGCAAAGATTTAAAGGCTCTTGTTGCTCATCTGCTTGTTTTGAGACCTTTGCTACCTTATGCGAAGACGTTCTTTGCGGCGTGCAGATTTGTAGGATTGTGCTACGATAAATTTGTTCAGCATTGAGGTGTTCTTTAAGGTGTTCTGTTGTTTTTGCCATAACAGACCTACCATTGTTATGCTTCTGGAAGTAATCAGTGATGGGATTTTTCCATGATGTGGTTCTTGATGCTGGTGAATTTGATCAAAACATGCCATAGAAGTTCTTGCTGTGGCTCACGTGTTCAATGCAACAGATGTTTTGCCCATAGAAATGCAGGTAATGGCACCACTTTATGAAACACTCTTCTCCAGGATGACTAGGTGCCTGCCAGTACAATTTGTCTAGTGTTTTGCTCTTGGCTGTCTCTTAAATGCAGATTCCAGTCACTAGAGGGGGAACCTAATCGGGGCTGGATAAGAGTTACCGTAATTTCCAGAATGTGGAAGCTTGACTGTGTAGCATTGCAGCAGCTCAATTCCTTTTTGGTCTGAAAAGGAGAAAAAGAATAGCCGTCCTTTCTTTCCTTGGACAAGGTTTATTACACGAAATGTTCAGCCAAGGACAGGCCCTCCTGTTCAAACTGGGGTGTACAGACACTGCCTCAGGATCTACTTGTAGCACTCCAGCCAATATGTTGACTCCATATCTCAAAGCAGTGCATACTTAAAAGGAAAGTGGTTCCTGTGTGTTCTAACAGGAATTTTTTTCCTCTATTCATAGTTGGCAAATTAACCTGCTGTTGATTTGTACAGTAATTGGTCAGCTGAGAGAGAGCGAGAGCCTGGCATTATTTGCATGTAAGATGTCTCACACTTGTATCCCTGAATAGATTTGTGTGCCTGGAGGGACAATGTAGTGAAATCCGTTGGAACTGATTTGAAGAAATATGCATTTGCCTTAAGATGTGATCTGATCCTTAGAACTACTGGATAGCTCCCTGGTTTAGGTACAGTTGTGCCCCGCTTTACGATTACCCCATATAACGACGAATCCGCTTGACGGTGAGGTTTTTGTGATCGCTTTTGCAATCACAAAACTGGTTTGAATGGGGTTTTTTCACTTTGTGATGATCGGTTCCCTGCTTCAGGAGCTGATTGTCGGGTTTCAAAATGACCGCCAGGTGTACAAAATGCTCTCCGCTATGCTTAGGGACGGATTCCTCACTACACAGGCACCGAAAATGGCCACCCCTATGGAGGATCTTCACTGGACGGTGAGTTTTCAGCCCATTGGAACGCATTGAACGGGTTTCAATGCATTTCAGTGGTCTTTTTTTCGCTTTACGACGTTTTCGCTCTACAGTGATTTCACTGGAACGAATTAACATCGTAAAGCGAGGCACCACTGTATCTGGCTGAGAAGCCAGGGATTTGGGCATTCAGTTCCCCACTATGCCTCATTGACAGGAACTGGACTTGATGATCCATAGGGCCTCTTCCAGATCTGCAGTTCTAAGATGATGATGATTTGTGACACACCCACACTCACACCCACCAAGTCTTTGTGAGTCCAAAAGTTTAACAATAGCAAAAAAAGATGTGGCCCCCATTTTGCTCCCAAATTAGGCTGCACTAGCAAACAGCAGTGGGGGGGGGGGGGGGGATACGTTTTATTATTTTTCTGTGTGACCTCAGTTCTAGGATTGAAAAAATGCTCAGGCGGAGTGAATGCTTAGATTTATCACAATCCTTAAATCAAAGCATATAAAGGTTCCTGAGCCACTATTTTGCATCGGATTCTGATGGATATAAATTAAGATTAACGTTCTAGTGAAGAAGAAGAAAGAACCCCAATGGGCATCTAGAAAGCCAGGGGTCTGTGCTCCCCTGCTTAAGAGCCAACATTTTGTTGCTGTTAAGATAGGAAAGCTTTTAGGGTTGCAATTAGCTTGCTGGAGTGGGAATTCATGATAATTGATGCATTACCTGTGATACTGTCAAACCAACCCAAATCCCCACATGAGCCTAGAAGAGGCATTTATAGGAGACAGAGAGGAGACGTGTTTGTTTTTCTGAGAGAAAAGGAATGTTTTTGTCAGAGTGTCTGGGAAGCTGCCTGTTGATCCTTGTGTCTTGCATTTTAAAGTGTTGTTTGAAAGCTGCCAGTTTGCACATCAGCATGAACTAATTTCTCCCCTGTAATTCATTCTGAATTGATGTGGGACCGGGTGGTGTTGGTGGTGGTGGGGCGGGAGAGGCAAAAGCTGCTCACTAAAAATAGTGAGCTAGGATGAGTTAACTGCCTAGGGGGTTGCTGATGAAGTCATGAGGAAAATGCATATTACTGCCTCTGCATTTTCTTATGCCAGTGGGGGGTGAAGGTAAGGGAATGAAGGTGGAACAAAGGTCTGTCCTTTACCAGAGAAATAGACACCTTTCTGTTAGAAGAGAAGCAACACAACTTTAGAAGAGTTAACCATTTTTTTTCCTTTTTATACTGCTTTTGTTGCTAGGTCATTAAGAATATCACTAGGATGATGTTAAGAAACCAAATTGAAAGTGAATATAATTTAAAAACACTCCTGTTAGACCAAATAATAGTAATTAAAACAAGAACAACATATGTTCAGGGAAGTAGCAGTAAATTTTGGCATGCATAGCCATACCATGAGGGATCCAAACAATGTTCATTAAAAGAACTGGGCATGCTTAGCCTTGAGAAAAGAAGACTAAGGAAAGGTAGGATAGCACTTTTCAAATACTTGAAACATAGTCATACAGAAGAGGAGCAGGATCTGTCATTCTAGAGTGCATGACACATAATAATGGACTGAAGTTACAGGAAGCCAGATTTCAGTTGAATATCAAGAAAATCTTAACTTTTAGAGCAGTACGACAGTGGAACCAGTTGCCTCAGGAGATGGTGAGCACCCCATCACTGGAGGCATTCAAGAGAAAATTAGACCTTCTGTCAGAGATACTTTGATTTGGATTCCTGCATGGAGCAGGAGGTTGGACTCAGAGGCCTTATAGGCTGCTTCCAATTCTATTATTCATTATTACTGGGTCTTTTGTAAAGCTAATAGGTCCTAATTGCTTGTTCAGGACAAAGCCAGTCTACAATATTTTGCATTATAATTGAGTTAACTCACACATTTATTGTCACTGGAGAAAGCAATCTGGGAGGATTACACTAAACTCAGAAAGAAAATAAAGGAGATGGCAGAGAGTATCATCCATGCTAACGAAAAAGTCCTGGCCCTTTTACATTGCAAGCTATGGTTCCAGTATTCCACTAGAGGCTACGTCCCTGTTCTGCTCAGTTTGGAGAAAATGTTATGGGTTGTAAGCCACATGAGCTGTGATCTTCTTCATCTCTGCAACCTCTAAGTTAGGCGATAAAGGTCAGTAACACCTGCAAATTGCTTTTTGTGTGTGTGAGGAATAGTCACTAAATAGTATCCTTTACAGATGGAAGCCTCCCCATCCCCTGAAAGCTATACCCTCCAAGTGAGAGGCCACTTAGCATTAAACAAGCCTTAGAATGGTTGGATTTTATTGTAGTGTTTTAATTAACAGGTAGTCCACTGTGGCATGGTTGCTTGGTGCTAGCACATTCTGGGCTCAAAGATGGTGTAATTAAAAAGGGAGGCAAGAGGCAGGGGGTGATCAGCTCGTGCTCTGGAAATATGCGTCATCTCCTCTCTCCGTCGTTTGGCACTCCATGGGGAAAGAATCTTGACACAGATGTCCTTGTGCTCAGCGGTAGGTAGGATGATCTGAAATTTTGCTCTCTCAAGTTACTGTATTTGAATGTAACCACCTTAGTCTGTGTAGAACTGTGTCAGAACTTAGAATATGAAGGCTTTTCTTTAAAATTAGCCCTTCACAAGGATTCCTAGAATGTCTCAGACTCTGTGCTAGGTGGCCTGTGAGGAAAGTTATTCTAAACTGGAAGTGAGCTACAGTTGTTATTTTATTTTATTTTATTGTTTACACAATATTGACTAGCGACATGTAACAAACAGCGAGCTGAGTGGACGGGCTTCATGCTTCACTGCAGAAGGCTGGGGTTTTAAAAAAAAACTATGAGAAATAAATTGAATGAGAACATGCAATTAGTAATTGTTAAACCAAGTTTATAGGTGGCAGGTGCATATGAGGGGAGAGGCCATCAACCAACAGTGAGCATGAACTCAGAAATGGCCTCTTCAGTTGTCAGTATCTTAGGTAACAGGAGTGGGGATGGTTTGTTATAGAGCAGTGGTGCCCAACTTTGAGTTCCCATATATTCTTGGACTATATCTCCTAGAAATCCTGTCTTGCACAGAAGGCTTCTGGGAATTTTAGTCCAAGAACATCTGGGACTCAAGGTTGGGAACCATTGGTATAGACCCAGGCTGAGTGAGAAAAGTAAATCAGGATTCAGTGTATATTGGCATAGCACAGCACAAGGTCCCATCGTAAACCGCAGACTCCTATAGCCTTTCCAAGGTCAAGGGTAACCAACACCTGGTCTGGATGGGTGGAGTTGCTCTGAACCTTAAGCATGCTTCATAGCTCAGGGGCTGTTCCCAGCTCACAGACATGGGTTGTGTGGAACCATGGACTTTCACATGGACAACTGTGGAAATGGCTGGTGCATATTTGAAATGTGGATGTATTGCAGAAGGCTGTGAATTTCTGGAACAGACAGGGTGACCAACAAAGAAATACTAAAGCAAAAGAATAAAAACCAAGAAATTGTAGAGAACTAGGCTACATTG